ATTTGAATATAGAAAATTGTTTTCAACAGGAATATAAGGAAATAAAAATTATTATCTAGTTTTCAAAGACAGGTGTACGAGATGAGAAGACCCATACCTATTCCTTATCTTTGCTTTTAGTCAACATAATGCAAGTTAAATCAAGAAAAAGCGCCCGAATATACATGTTGGTAGCTAACCATTTGTAGTGGTTTTAAAACAATCAAACGTTTTCAAATCAAACTACTTTCTAAATTTTTATGATAAATACACACTTAAAAATACATATTTTGCTCTATGTGTAAGTGAAAAAGTAAGACTTCTAGCATTTTTCGCTCGAACACAACATGTCTCTACATTTATGCCGATGCTTATGTGTCGTTATCATTGTTTTCAAAAGTTGACTCATAAATTGTTATCTATTTCAATGAAAAGAGAATAAAGAAATACAATCTTGTCATATTAGTCATTGTCATCTTCTTGTAGATTTCAAAAAGGCAGTGCATCATATGTTGTTGTTTTTTATCTGTGATAACTGAGCAAATAACATTAAAAAGAGAATATAAAAGTTGCATAGCAGAGGTACTGAAAGAGAAAACAATTAAAGAACAAAACAAGATAGTTAAGATTATCACAAACATTAAAACAATGCAGTATGATCCACACAAACAAGGTTATAATAACTATGGAAATGTCTACGGTAATCAATATCCACCTATGAATCAAACACCATATGGAGTCGGAAATATGTATCCGTACGTAATATCTTCTAGTCAGAATTTTTTTTTTGAATGATAATTATTCATTTTGTGGTTGTTTATGAAAGGCCGAATAATGCACCACCACCTTATACACAATACCCTCAACATCCATCTGCTTATCCTACATCAGGTGCACCATATAATAGTTCAACACCATGCTATCAATCACAAACAGGTGCTGTTGCACCTGTTTATCGACCATCATGGAATAATTTGATACCAACATCGATTACGTCTAGTCTTCGAGTATTTTTTGTCATTTCTGGTATTCTTTATTTGATATGGGGTGTATTAGTAGTTGGATTCGAAATTGGCATTATTTATTATTCTTATTGGAGATATTATACTGGTTTTTGGACAGGCTGTTTCTTCATTAGTGGAGGAATTAGTATGTTAGTTGTAGCATGTAAAACATCTTATGTGATGGCTCATCTGATTCGACTATTTGCTATTTGTTTGTTCCTCGGTATACTGGGACTCATTTTGTCTATCGTTAATGTAGCTAGATACAAGAGTTGCGATTCAGTATACTATTGGCAATATTGTAACAATTCAACAGGACACCATCTAAAAATAGCTATCTTAGTATTTATTATTATTGCACTTATTCATACTATTATCAATATAGTTGTGACTAGTAATGCACGAAAATCAACGACATCAGCATGTACTTCAAGTATTCCAACTCAATAATAATTCATGATAAATCAAATTTAATATGAATATGTGCCTGAAATTGAAAATAATTTTTTTTTCTTCAATGTCTGACATAATCGCACTTGACAAATAAATAAAACTATTGATTTGACCTATTTTTTACTTATTTAGTTAAGTGTGTGAATATACTTATATTTTTCAATCAAAATGTCATTGAAAAATTTTTTCAATGCAGTAAACTTCTTTGTTTTATAAAAAGTAGAAATCAGTATTCTTCTTCAAAGAAATTCTAATTCATATCAAATACCATAGCACACGAAGAAATCTTTCTATACTTGAAACATATTGAGTAGAATCATGTTGTAAATTATTAATTATAATGTCTCTTTGCCTTTACACTTTTTTCGAAAAATATTCTATGATACAATTCTTGTATGTCTGAGAAAATATTTCTTTTCGCAAAAATATCCATTGTTGCTTCGTAGGCGAGCATAATCAGTAATGGTACATGGTATTGTGAACAAATGCTGTCTGTACTAGTTATACTTCAAAATAAGCGACTGACTTAAATAAATTTGAATGGAAACTAAGAATATTAAAAAAAACATAACTTGGTTTTTTTACAGACATAATAGAAGATTCCGAGTTTTCTAATGTATTGAGAGTTTTAATCGATTACAGAAATAAATAAGATTACAAAGAAAGTGAATTTTTATTCAGCATCAGTTTTATTTGAACAGAATCGTTGATAATTCTTTGACAGTTAACATGTAGATATTTTATTATACAAATGTTTGACAATATTGACTATTTAATATTGCATTAATACGTGCAACATATTCATCAAGGTATATATAAGTAAATATCATCCGTTAGAAATCTATCCGAAAGAAAATGGTATGTCCTCATGGATTTCAAATACTTTGAAAACAACAAATGCTCTAGTTTAGAAGATTTTCACGATTCAGAAAAGTTGTGTATCACTTTTAATAATTTGATCCAATAATCTTAGGATTAAAGAGTTTAAAAAAATGAGAAAACTCTCATATATAGAATTAAATTAAAAGCAAACCTTTAAAGTTTGTATCAACAAATGAATATATTCATATAGCATAAGAATGAACATTGAATACGCATAAATAGTTATTGCTATTGTCTTAACATAAAAATTGCTCTAGCAACATCGATATAAAACGTGACAAAATCAGTCAAGACAACAAGTAAAGAGAGATAGTCATTTCACTTATTATTTGTTCAATCACATTCGTCGCAACGCATATCTTAGTCGATCCTATACTAGAATGATTCTTGGCGGTATCATTTACTAGATGGTATACATAATATCGATGCACTTTTTGCTAGAAAGACTTTTTTATTTGACATTCTTACTGACATTTTCTTCAATATTTTTGTTCTTGACATTTAGCTGTCTAATCTACGTACACTCTTTCTCTGATATATTTTTTTAAAAGAACAATGTATTTTTGTTGTCGTTGTCGTCACACGAATACATTACATATTTTTTTCTTTTGTAATACTCTTTATTGAGACATCATCCTTGTTGAATATTAGGCATGAAGCGAAGTAGAACTTACCGAATCTGAACGTTCGGGTTTAGTACATATAAAGAACATTTGATCAATGGATAATAAAGTAATGAAATTATTCCAATTTTTATTAAGTGATTAAGATGAGCTTTATATAAAATATGGATCTATGACTAATAAAAGAACGAAAGTTTGTTTAACTGTTTTGATAAAATGCACTGATCATCAGCAAGATAGAATATTATGATCGGAAATCAAATGATTGAATTAATAATCTTATGCGTTAAACTATAACAGATTATTATTACATTGCATAACCAAAGCGATTATCTACGAATTTGAACGTTTCCTTTGAATAATTGTAGATAGAAAATGATGCCTCAAGTATCCATTCTCGTTTGGATCATCAGCATTATGTGTGTTACAATTTATAGTTTACCAATTTTCAATTTAAACGATTCGAATATCATTAGTGATATAATAAAAAATAAAACGTGAGTATTTGCTTTATCCTAATGGTAGGACATAATGTTGTAGTGCCCATCAATATGAGAAACTAGCCATTCATTCATCTCTACTTTCAAGCATAACTATTCAAAAAAAAGCATATTTTGTATGATGCAGTTAAGCATTGATGATTATGAAGAATTATATTCATTAAACTTCAATTTCCTATTTAGAACGCCAACAACTTATTTCCGTCCAACATGGATCGACATAAATCTCAGTGCCGTACATTCAAATGTACGTCTACTAAAAAATTACATCGGCGAAAAGGTACATCTCATGGCCATCGTTAAAGCCAATGCATACGGACATGGCATGTTGGAAATAGCTCGAGCAGCTGTGTCTGCCGGCGCAACTTGGCTAGGTGTCGCCACATTAGACGAAGCATTAGCCGTGCGTTCTAAACTTTCAAAAAACACTCCCATTCTTGTTCTTGGTTATGTTGCTCCAGAACATGTATCATTGGCTAGTCAATTTAACATAACACTTACGGGCATTTCACTCGATTGGATACAAGAAGCTGCTCGACTTGTTAAACAACCATTCAATTTTCATCTCAAATTGGATACAGGTCTTAATCGACTTGGTTTTAGAACCATAGACGAAGTACGAACAATAATGAAGATTATTTCTCTAAATGCAAATTTGAATTGTACGGGAGTTTTTACACATTTTGCTACTTCTGAAGATATGCAAAATAAGAGTTATTTCCATCGACAACTAGCACGTTTCTACGAATTTCTCGATGTCATTCCAAATCGTACCGACAAAATTATTCATTGTGCAAACTCCGGTGGTACTTTATATCATCCTGAAAAACCTTTCTTTAATATGGTTCGTTTGGGAAAAGCATTGACCGGTCCACCAAATGAAGCATTAAAACATTTACTTCCATTTGAGCTTCAACATACACTTTCGCTTCACTCTGTCTTAGATTTTGTAAAACAATTAGATGCCAATGAGAAAATCGGTTATGTAGGTGAATATGTAACAACAGAAAGTCAGTGGATTGGCACTGTACCCATTGGATATGCTGATGGATGGCATCAACAATTTAGAACGAGTCATGTTCTCGTAGATGGAAAACGAGTACCAATTGTTGGACGTATCGCTATGGATCAATTGATGGTTGCTTTACCTCAAAAATATCCGGTCGGAACTCGTGTAACTTTTATCGGTCAACAAGGTAATGAGACAATAGTTGGAGATGAAATTGCAGAAAAAGCAAAACAACCAAGATCAGAAGTACTTACATCTCTTTCAAGTCGTGTTCCACGTGTATATATACAAAATGGATCGATTATTGGCATCAGCAACCCGATATTAGAATCTTAATAATGTACAAGAAACTGTTATTGCTTTTTGTCTTTTTGGAAGAAAAATAAAAAACATATATGAATGATCTCGAATAAGATCGCCTACTTCATTCAACTTTTCTAAATATTATTCACAATATATAAAAAATTAATCTGCTACAGACATCTTTTTTACTTCATTTGAATTCTTTTTTGTTTTATCTATGAAGATAAGAGTGACATCAGAAATGAAACTATGAGTCAATTTGCAAACATATGTATGGTTTCATTACTTTAACATACGATCACATGCAAGTATAAAAACACATTTTATATCAAGAATAATAAATACATGTTAATTTTCACTGGATAGCAATATATGATGTGGCTTGTAACTCAAATCTTCTTGTGGATCATATCGTTTGTAGCTACTGTTAATTGTCAAGGAGGAGGTGGCGGTGGAGGTGGCAGTGCAGGCATTTACGGTAATTTTGACACAAACAGTTGTTTTTATATAATTAATATTTCTTATTAAAATAATTCAATAATTCGAACTTGTTGAACTGCTATCTTTTATAAATTGTTTTAGGTATTTTCATTGTCGTTATTATTCTGCCATTGTACTGTTGTTATCAATGTTGTGCAGGTAAACCAAGGCGATCTAATGCTAAATTTGTTAATAAAACAACAACGAACGATGAAGAAAAACAAATAATTGACATAAAACTTTTTCAGTCTGGTCAGTGGGAGAGTCAATACTTTCAATATAGCAAATGGCACGGACCTTATCAAATTGAACTGTCATTCGATGCTTTACAATCGAAAGTAACAGGATCAGGATTAGATGACATCGGTATGTATTCTATCGAAGGTACCTATTCGACACAGAGTCGTCGAATGGGTCTAACAAAAACATATCAACTTGGTACGGGAAATCGATTAGAAAACTTAGGACACACTGTTACTATTCAACTCGAATGGAACAAATATAATAATCAATTCGAAGGCAAATGGTATGTACGAACGAAGAAGTTTAAAGGAGCTGGTGATTTTAAAATTAATTTTGACAAACGAAATCAATACATGCCAGTATTATCGATATATGAAAAAGTGTAAATGGTTTATTTTGTTCTATAACTATTCGACAAATACTAAATAATTTAAATATTTGTACACTATATTAAATATACTTGACTTTTGATGGTTTCAGTACAAGTTTTTTTTCTTTTTTATATTTGATTCTAATGCTTGACTAAAACAAACTATACAATCTTAAAAATTCAAAGTTGTTAGATTCTTTTATCATAGAGATGAATCTCATGCAAATGTCGCCTGTTCAATACCGACAAAATTTTTGCAATAACTTTTGTTAGAGTATTATTGTTCAGATCATTGACACTTTTAAATAAACACAATGCAAGAGAAAGTAATCAATGTTTTATCCAGTGTATGACTCTCATCATAAATTTCGCTGTGTTCTATTTTGGAGGTCGAAAACTTCAGGAAGAAAATCTCCTAAAGTTGCTAAGAAATTCTTCATTCATCAACTTTATCCAGAAAAATATATTCTTAGTCGGAATTTTTAATATCGTTGTTATCAATCGTGAACAGCTTTTCCTTCATCGCTATTTCTCACGTGTGGGTATGAGTGTAAATCTTCCTCTTCTCTTCATACACATTCTACACTACTAGAGACGAGAAAACATGTTCAGTAAAATGACGCTTGAAAACGCCATGCAGATGTCAAGCTGGATTTCGCACATAGTATTCTACGATATCTATTGAATGACTTTGAGATAGATTGACAATCAAACCATACTTTTGATGTTTGTCTTATCTTCTGTTTTTTTTCTCATATATAACTATTCAAAATATGGTCCCTCATAAAAGTAAATATTCGCCATTTTAAAGTTTTAAATCATCTCATCAAAAGTGAAAGTCTAAATAAAACACTGAGCATAATATGATTCTCATAAAAGGTTTGTTTGTTTTTTCATGTTTTTTAACTTCTTATCTTAAATATAAATTCATGCAAAACAATAAATAATCATATACATTATTCATTAAACAAGAATTGAACTCATGATTTTATTATTCTAAAATCTTACATGAAATAAGTCATGATTTCTATGTCCATATGAATACATTTAAGACGACAGCTTCACCTCACTTTTCGATCTGCTAATATTCGTTTTTACTGATAGTAAATGGTTTGATCATTAATGTGTTGTGCATATCAAATTTCATCTCATTCAGACAAACGATGAGTGCACTCATAATGAATCTCAAATCACAAATGTATATATATATACATATGAATATATAAACGCATTTGTTTTTTGTTCTCAGTTACAATTCGTTTTTTTTCCAGTGTACTTTTCGAAGCAATTAGAAGTCAAGATTTAAACGAAAATAATGCGACTTTGCCTATTCTTTTTATTTGTTGGTTTATCATCAACATATGAACATTGGTTTGTTTTTGATCAATATCAATTTCCAGGATTTTATACACCATTATTTACATTAATTTCTTCATCAAATAATAAAATAGGTCAACAAGAAAAAAATCTTTCATTTGCATTGTCGACTTATGAACGTTCGATTAGTATTGTTCTTAATATTGGTAGTTCAGATAAAACAATAAGACGAGATGAACAATTTATTAAATTAAATATTGAACGTGCTGATTTATTATATAATTCATTAAATCATTTAATTTTTATTGGTCTACGACAAGGAACGAAACTTGAAACATATGTTAATTGTAAATTAATTGATTCATATTTACTTTATTCATCGTATCAAATCAATGAAGATGATAAGGATGATGAAAGTTCATCGTTTAAAATTGTAAATTTAGCAAATGGTATTAAACATTTTGAAAATAAAACAGATGAACATTATCTTCAACAAATATTTGACAACTTTGGTTGTAAACAATCGGGTACAACTATTACTACGAATAATAAAACAACAATTATTGGACGACCATTAATTCGAAAAATGCAACATGTTATTGAAAAAGTTCAAAAACGTAAATTACGATCAAGGTAAAAATTTTTTTTTTTTCAAAATATTCTTCAATTGTTCATTATTGTTATTTGTATAGACGTCATCAAAATCAACAATCTTCTTTTGAATTGACCTCAGATTCATTTACTATCATTTATAAACCAAATATTGCTCAATTCGATGATAGTGAAACAAATTTTCGTACTGTTCTCTATGTACCACAGTTCGCATTTTATGTTCTATATTATCCAAAAGAACATCTCTTTAACATTCGATTCAATAATGAAAATCGTACTCAATTCATTTTATATGCTGATAAATCAACTGATCTTCTTAACTCTCGTAGTAAATCACAAGAATCATCATTCAGCAATAATCTATTATCAACTGTTATTCTCTTTATACATATAACACCAACAATGATAACATGTTATGTTAATTGTGAATTAACTGATCAAGAATTTATTATTGATTCATTATATGTACAAAATATAATACGACAAACAATGGATAAAACTCTTAATAATCAACAATATGAAGAAAAACAAATTATGGAATATGATCGTCAATCAACGTTAATTTTATTTAATAAATCAATTGATCAAATAGCAGCAAATTTTTTTTGTTTAAAATTAGATAAGAAAAATGAAGATTTATTACCTGATAAATATGCTTTACGGTAATAAAAAAAAATTCTTTTTAGCAAAATATAATTTTTAATTTTATTTTACAGAAAATTTGCCAATGCTCTAGATATGTTGGTTAATAGTCTTGATACACCTATAAATATAAATCATCATCAAGATCAAACATCAACAACTTCTACAACAACTACACAAAGTATTTCAGCTGTAAATATTCATACTATAGATGGTTTTGGAAGCCTTATAGCTCCTTCATTAAATACAGATATGAATACAATATCAAATGATATTAGTGAATATGATAAAGCATGTCTTACTGATCAAGATTGTAATTCAAATAATTCACATTTAAAATGTCAAAATAAACATTGTGCATGTTCAACACGTTATTTTTGGTCACCAATTGTACGTCGTTGTATATCATGTAAAGATCTATCAATTGGTAATCGTTGTTTTCGTTTATCAAATCATAAATCAACATGGTATGAAGCAAATGAATATTGTCAAGATGAAAATTCATCAGATGATCAACAAGAATATACAATGAAATTAGCATCAAATCTTAATCGTACTGATATTGAATTACTTCGACAAAGTCTTTTAAATGAAGATGATGGAGAACAATTAGATTATTTTTATTGGATTGGTTCAACAAGTCAATTTGATACACGAAAATTACATAAACATAACAATCGACATAAACGACATGTACCAACAACAATATTCCGTTGGTATGATAATGGTGAAACAGCACAATTAAATATTCCAGATATATGGTGTTCACAAAGAGAACAAATGAATATAGCAACAATTAATAATAATGAATTGTGTGTTAGTCTTACATCATGTGGTTTATATGCTGATGATTGTCAACGAAATTACAGATTTTTATGTGAAGCTGTTTAAGAGAGACTTTTCTCTTTTACTTTTACTTCTTACGAAATAAAACTCTTTTCTTTGTAGTCGGAAAGTAATTTGATAGGTTATAACAGTTGTTACTAGTTGAGAAAAACAATATGAACTGATAACAATTTGAAAAAAAATAATTAGAAACAAAGTTCTCCTATATTAATTAATGCTATTTTTATTTTTCATGAAACGAAATATTTCTGTATCTAAGATTATTTTATCTAAGCAGAGAAATAAATAATAAAATTGCGAACATAATAAAAACGATATATTAGAAGCTTTTTTGTTTTCATGTTTCATTCTTTTAAGGATTTCTGTATTTTATGTACTTATTGAAATATATTTGTAAATATTGATGTCTAAAATCAGTATGAACTCTGCATAGAACGATTCACAATAACACAGTGCGTAAAATAAAGTGGTTATAATCACGATTTCTTTTTATTAAAAAAAGAACGTAACCTGGGAATACTTTTAGCAATTCCTTGTGAACACGTTCGAACGAAATTCTTTGAGATAAAAGATATTCTCATTGTCATAGAATACAATCAATGCGAAATATGTCACGAAAAAAAAAAAAAATTTTTATCCAATAGAAACACAATTAGATAGATAAAAATTTTTCTTTTTTACTTAGATAAATGCTTTCTTGATTCACGAGGACATATGTCAAATTGATAAAAAAAACTGTCATATAGCTTTTTCTATTTTATGACTTAGAACGCATTTCTTTTTTTTTTTACCGAAAGCACACAAAAGTATTTATACAAACGCGAACTTTAAAAAACCTTATCACATATAATATTCAATTGTTTATTTTTATAGACTGTTGTTCCAAAGAAAAATCGAGTAAAATGAAATGTACTCAAATTCCATCTATATCAATGAAAGATTAGCCAAACTCAAATATGCAGTGCTTTCTAATGCATTGAGTTTTATTAAATTTTGATTCCTATTCTCTGAAAACAAAGTATATGTCTTCGTTGAAACATTTTTAGGAGATTTTCTAACGCTTATTTAGAGGTAAATTTTACTTCTAATAGTTTGACGTACACGTCGAATTATAGAAAATAAAATGAACATTCCTTATGTAATCCACACGTCATTACCAGGGATGTGGTGAAACAAAAAAAAAGGAATATGGATGCAAGAAAATTTTTCTGACAGATGGAAAGATGCGTATACAAATTGTTAAAAGTGGATATTGATGTAAATTTATTTTTCTTTCTATGATCTTTTCTTCAGTAAAGATGACGAATTTTTTAAGAGAAACAATGAAAACTGTGTCAAAGTGAAGCACGAAGGAGTGTATGTTTCCTACCGGCAGTGCCAGGAGTAGGCTCAGACCGCTCAAGAAAGTTTTTAATACTGGTATTTACTAGACAATTTTCTGATTAGACACGTAGATTTATAAATGAAGTGAGAGCTTTCAGAATAATGTTGACATCACAAGTTACTTGTAGAAGAAGTATTTCTGACATAAAGTTTGATGAAGTATTATATATTTGAAAACATTAAGGAAACATGTTTTTCAAAAAAAAAAACATTGAAGAAATCCTATGCTTAAGACTTTTCACGGTAATCACAAAAAAAAGTAGTATAATTTTCTTGTATAATAAAAGCAAACACATTTGCCAGACTTTCAACTGTTTTATAAATTCTGATAATACTTTTTAATTATTTCACGAAATGAAAGAAGATTCCGTATATCAAGAATACAATCGGCTTTGCCTTCCTATTTCTTCTACTATAAACTGCTTTTGCGTCATACCTAGTGAGAGAAGAAGTAGTCGGTCACTTTAAATAATCACCGTAGTACCTATCTTTTCTTGAAGTCCTGTATAAATTTCCACTTTCTCTCGACGAAGGAGAAAGCAAGACAAAAAATGCTGTTTCATCTCCTTCCAGTCATAAATCCTTTGAGTAGGCTAAGCACTTCCTTGAAGACAACCCTCACGTTCTGTAGACCACCCACTCAATCTCGTCGACACATTCCTGATCATAACAGATGTCTCTAATAGCAACAAATTTTTTTTAACAATACAAATAAAAATAACTCGAAATCATTTTTTAAATTTTATTAAATAAAAAAAACTTTAATGTTAATCAAAACAATTTCATTGTTCAATGAGGTCACTATTTATATTCAGGGAGGCTTGATATCATAACAAAACTGACTATCTATTGGTTTCTCATATCTGAACCATTCATAGAAAAGTATTTTGTTCGATGTAAATTGTTTGTTAGATCCTCCATTGTCGATTCACAATTATGATAAGATTAAAATTCTAGAATTCCACATCATGACGGTAAAATAAAATCATATGATTTTTTTTATTAGTTTTTTATTTTATTCTTTTAATTCATAGAATTTAATCTCAACAAATCGAAAATCAAATATAATTGGATCTGTTCCATTTAATGATGATATTTACTCAGTATCATTATATTGTTCAAAAAATTATATTTTACATATAAATATAGGACCATTTTTATTTCTTTATATTCTTTGGTTTTTAATATGGATATTTCATTTTGGTCTTGGAGAATACCCTGAATTAGGAATGATTATTACTGTTATTATAGCAATTTTACAAATCGTAACATGTCTGTTTTGTTACTGGTTTGTTCAAATACGTGCTTTTATGCAATGTATACCTGTAAGATTATTTTGTTCTTTTTATATTTCATTTTGTCGAAAACAATTTTAATTTGTTTTTAGGAAAAAAATCCATGGAAAGCAGAATTAGTTGTCGTAAAGCCAACAGCCAATAATGGTTATCCAGAAATGGTACCATTACATCATGGAAAAGTAAGAAAATTTATGTTTAAATCTTCAGCGCTAAAAAAAAGTAAATTTTCATGAAAAACATGAGAATTGATAAAAATATAGGAAAAGATAGCCGAAGGTCTGATCTTTCAAAAATGACATGTTCTTTTATTTTGACTCCTGGTGTTTTCCAAAACTTTCGTCATTTTGTGCTTGAAAAGTTTTGGTTTTGTTCAGGTGAAGTGAAAAATCTTTTTCTCTGAAACAGCATGACGGAGCCTATTTTTCGGGACATTGAACTTATCTCCGCTTAAGAGTAAGAATTAAAATAAAAGGGTGCTGAGATCTGATATGCTTTTTCAAATCAAAAACAGAAATTCAGTCTTTAGAACGTATTTGAATGACCTAGGGTCAAAATCGATTATTATCGGGATGGAGGGGGGGGGGGGGGTGAACTTACCGTGACCTTTCAGGAATTTGTCGGTAGGATATAACGAAAAATGATGAAACTTTCAAGACTGATAGATCTCCATAAATAAAACAAAAGTTGTAATAGACTCAGAATTCTCAGACGCTTTCTTCAGGAAGGTATGGGGATCGGAATGGCTAGAAGTCCGATGCCCCCCCCCCCCTCCGGAAAACTTAGTACTTCAGTTTTTTGTGACAAGTAGGATCGATTTGCATGCGCCCTTTTTCCTGTGAAAAATATCGTTGCCAGATGTTACGAGAAGGAAAATATTCGAAGTATTATCAAAGAAAGTATTGCTTCAATGATACTGATTTTTTAAAACTTACTGAATTTCGCAGGAGCAAAATAATGAATAAAAAAAGTATAAGCACAATCGAACGCGGTGTGTGAGAGAGAAGAGGTAAGAACATCGTCAATTTTTTGTCGATAAATTGATTTCGAGGAAAATAAAAAACAACCTTTCCACTAAGTTGGATTTAATAAAAGTAGAAGAGCGCTGGCGTTTGACAGAGAATACTTCGGGGTTGTCTTACTAATGAAAAATTCAATTTTCATGCATTGAAAGGTGTGAAGAACGTCGTACCACTAAGATAAGTTTTATTTTTTAAATATATTTAGAACCCTCATGACCAACGTGAGCATGCATGGTTTATATTTCAAAAATGCCGTTATATATATGATGAAAGTGAAAAGAAAACTTTTCAAACAATTGACTATCCATTATCAAATTCATTTTCATCATATCTTCAATCAAAAGGTTATCAAACACAAGATGATATTGATCAAGGAATATGGAATTTTGGACTTAATACGTAAGAAACAAAAAATAAAAATGAACTTCATTTTTAATTGTTTCTTTTGGTTTATAGAATGTTTATTGATATTCCAAGCTTTGTTGATTTATTTATTGAACGAGCTACTGCTCCATTTTTTGTCTTTCAAGTTTTTTGTGTTTTACTTTGGTGTTTAGATGAATATTGGTAAGACCTTTTTTTCTTTTTCTTTTTTTTTTTGAGAAAAATATCTTCTGTCATAATGATGATCCTACATGCACCACTCTGATCATAACTAGATATGAGGAGAGTTATTTCCTAATATTATCTGAAGACAGAAGATATTTATTTTTTTTTCTTTAAAACAGTTCTATGATGAATCCAACGACGGTCTTCAGAAAAAGAATGATCGAAAAACAACGATTCTAAACCCATTTTAACTGAGAACTGTAAGAAAATTTCTATTCGATTCTGTGAATTGTATGATAACGTTCATAAAACAGTCACGGGTGTCATAAACAGCGATAAGAACATATAAATCATGACTAAACATATTCGAGAGTAAGTTTCATTCAATACATTCTCGCGCATTATTAAGAAAAACAAGAGGTTCAAAAAGGACGATAATGATCTGCTTTTTAGTTTAATAACAAAAAAAAAATTGTTCGATGTTCTCTAAAAATTTCTTAAAATTGTATTATTTTGTCATAATCATTCGATCGACGGTTCGTTTATTAATTTTTTCTTATATTTGATTTGATTTTTTATTATATTATATGAAAAAGTTGATTTTAAAATAATTGTTTGTCACCGATGTTCACCTCGCATAGTTTTAGTTCAATCGAATCAATTAATGGAGAAATGTTTTGCATAGAAAAAAGTTATGTATATATCAAGGAGAAATAGAACGAAAGGACATAAACATATATGTACTATTCGTTGTTCGTGTGCATACATCTTGATTCAAGTAGATGTCGTTTTTTTCAGTCTACAAAGAAATGGATCAAAAATAGTAACATAGGTTATATTTACGTACGTCTTTTGAATATTTGTTTTTTTTTCTGTCATCAATGGGTCTAAATATCGGCTGTTGTCTTTTCCAAGGACACTTCTCTCATAGTCGGTGATAGACTAAAGAGACAGATGCAACATACACTTCAGTTTAGAATTTTCAACGTACTGGTAGGTCTGTGATGAAAGATGTTATATGTTATAATGAGTTTCGTAAGGGGACCAAAGACGGCTATTTCAAATTCAATCTTCTTTCATAATAATTCCATGGAAGACTTGAACTTCGTGACTAAGTCTCTCATAGACTATGCTGAGAAGAGTCTGTTTGAATTTCTACCCGTGTACATCGGTAGTCATCATGACTGATTAGCTAGATTGTTCGGCATGTATCCAATAGGTACTTTTGTCAAGTCTTCGTGTCATCCGTCCTATAGCACACCGACTAAGTTGTGACATACATCAGTCCAATTTTCTGTTCAGAACTACAGCTAGTACTAGTTGTAGGGAAGATATCGAGCTAACGAATCTGCGCTCAGGATCATCTTATACTGAAAGGCAGAGGTATTCTTCCTTTCTACCTCTATATTGCAGCACTCCTTTTAGATCGTTTTTCACAAAACAACTGATTTTTAACTACAATAGGCACATATAGTAGAATTTGTCATACATGTTTAAATGTATGTCAGATGTGGATAAATGTGCAAGACCAAAATTCAACTGAATATTTAGTAATTCAAAACAAGATATTTATATATTTTATTTTGATATATAGATTCAGTGCGACAAAATGTTGTTGTTTTGTTTCTTTTTTGTAGGTATTACAGTTTATTAACATTATTTATGTTAATCGTATTTGAAATAACTTTAGTTCAACAACAAAAACGTAATATGGCAATGATTCGTCAAATGGGTAATCAACCATATAAAATAAATGTTTATCGTCAACGAAAATGGATTAAAATCGATACAACAGATATATTACCAGGTGATCTCTGTTCAGTTTTACGAAGTAATGATAACAATCCATTACCTTGTGATATGTTATTATTACGTGGTCAATGTATTGTTGATGAATCAATGTTAACTGGAGAATCAATACCACAAATGAAAGTAAGAAAAACAATTAAATCTCCTAGGATTATAAATTTTTTCATTGACGTACTGATTGTCATTTTATGATGATTGATATAAGATTTTGCCAATGAGGAGATTTAAGTTTTTCTTGTTATTTTTTTTTTAGGAACCAATTGAGAATGTTGATGAAAATACAATATTTGATTTAGAACGTCATGGCAAATTACATGTACTTTCAGCTGGTACTAAAATTGTTCAACATACACCGCCAGCTAAAATGCAAGGTGGAATGAAAGGTATCGTTTTTTGACTATGATTTGGCTTTGTTTTTCTTTATTCGAAGGATAATTATTCTATCTAGAAGAAAATATTTGGATGATATGAAAGTAAATATTGTTAAAGAAGATCTATTGATGCAAATTCGTCTTAGTAGAGTTTTCTATTCATCTCAAAGTTATTTTCATTCGATAAATAAAATCTTTTTCGAAATGCTGAAAAACTATTTCGGTTTTTTGAAAAATTCTTTTAATTAATAGTTATGAAAATCAATGAAACGCAATAGAAGACGAGAGATCTTCTATTTCGAGAAGGATTTAGTTTCAATAGTTATTTCAACTGTAATGAGTGTTTTCCCTTCTATGAAGAGTGAACATATTCATTTGAAGTAGTATAAAAACAAAATTTTCATTATTGATACCCGAGGATAGGAGATACTAAAATATCTGACATTTTGAAAATGAACTACTAGCATTGAGAACTTTATATATATGCAAATTTTGAACTCCAAGATTGATGTAGATGATTATCTAACGGAGGAAGTATAGTACTTATGTTTAAAAACTCAATAAAGTATTCATAATTCAAGAAGAAAGACCCATGAGTACAAATCGTAGTAGAACCTATCTTATGAAATACAAGTCAACTCAAAAGTGATTTATCACTTGACGAAGTTCCTTTTGTTAGTTTTAATTTGTTACATGTAACACTCATGAGAAAGCTCTCAACAGATATCAATAGTTTTTTTTTCTATATAAAAAAGTGTTATCGATATTCTAATTTTTGACTCGTCATGAGACAATGTTAGTTTTGTCTCAATAAAATTTCTTTGTTCATCTTGTATATTCTAAAAAGTCTTACAATTATAATATCTTCGCAAAAAAAAAATAGTTATTTATTCTATTGAATAAATTTTATATAAATTTTCATTTGTTTCTTTTTCTAGCAAGTGACAATGGATGTATAGTATATGCACTTCGAACTGGCTTCAGTACATCACAAGGAAAATTATTAAAAACAATTTTATACAGTGTTAAACGAGTTACAGCTAATAATCTTGAAACATTTCTCTTTATCTTATTTTTACTTATTTTTGCCGTTATTGCTGCATCATATGTATGGATTGAAGGTAACCAAAACAAAAAAACAGAATTTTTTTTTTTTAAAAACATTTCGCATGATGTGAAAAAAACATTTTGATTTACATCTGAATGATATAATTTATAAGATTAGAGTCACTGACGAAATGATGAAATCTAAATTGTTTATTTATTTATTTATTTATCTTTTACAGGTACAAAAGATCCAAAACGTAATCGTTATAAATTATTTATTGAATGTACATTAATTTTAACATCGGTTGTACCACCGGAATTACCTATTGAATTATCACTTGCTGTTAATACATCATTAATAGCTTTAGTTAAACTGCGTAAGAATATTTTTATTTTTATATTATCTTATGAAAATCTTCTATTTAATATATTTGTTTTAGTTATTTATTGTACGGAACCATTTCGCATTCCATTTGCAGGAAAAGTTGATATATGCTGTTTTGATAAAACAGGAACATTAACAAGTGATGATCTCGTTGTTGAAGGTGTTGCTGGAATACAAAAGTAAGTTGTTTCTTTTTTATATAGAAAAGAAAAAAGATTTTACAATCAAATAAATTAATCGCAAACTTCTAAAACTTTTCCAAATATTTTCATCGTGGAAATAGATTTCGCTAGTTTGCAAGAATAAATCATAAATTATTACCGGGCGAATTCAATTTTCGATGAAACTATGCCTAAATATAATTTGTACATTTAGTTCGGATGATCCAATACCATTATCAAAAATAGATGTTCAATCACCTGTAAAACAAGTTCTATTAACATGTCATGCATTAGCTAATCTTGATGGTGATATTATTGGTGATCCATTAGAAAAAGCAACATTAAATGCACTTGAATGGACAGTTACACGTGGTGATACAGTTATACCAGTTAAAGGTCGTTCTGGACGATGGCAAATAGTTCAACGTTATCATTTTTTAAGTGCATTAAAAAGAATGTCAGTTATTGCTGGACAAAGTCCATCACCTTCAAGTAATGAAACCACATATATTGTTGCTGTTAAAGGAGCACCGGAAACACTTAAACCTATGGTATGTTATAAGAAAAAAAAAATTTCCTTTTTATTCTTGAATCTGTACAATTTTATTTAAAACAAAAATGGATATACGAAGGATGATTTATTTGAATGATTCAAATACTGATTAAGAATATTTTATTTAAAACTCAAACACTGAACTGACGTTGTCCATTTTATACATATTTAAAAAGATAAGATCGTCTAAAATACAGTTTATTTCATTCGACTTTGACTAATTGAATATCGATATTATCAACTAATGGAATATCCGTATCATTAATATATAATAATTTTTCATTTCGTTCGATTCTTGCTGATAGAGTTATACCGCCAGGAATAGTTTTAATTTCTGAAAATTTCATATGTGCTCTATATGGATCATATAAACATTGATAATCAATGGGTATTGATTGTTCTCTGTATAAGCGTATAGTTTGTGAACCTAATTCAATACATGGAGCATCATGTCGAAGAGAATCTCGAACTGAAATATAAAGAATTTCATCACCATAAAATTTTGGTTGTTCACCTTTAATTGTAATTCGACCATGAACTTCATATCTAATCAATGTAGCCATTTATTGTGAACGTAAAAAAAACAATAAAATGCGCGTGAGTTGGTAGGTGTATTTTTCTGTTTCTGTGAATCGGAAGTATGTAAAACTTATCAATTATAAATGAAGTAAGAAGAAAAAAGGAAAACGAGTAAGTTAAAAGAATGAATAATATTTTTTTTTCTTTGTTTTTTCATAAGAAAAGAAAAGTAGATGCATAATGATGATTTAACATGCACCACTCTGAAATGAAATTTTATTTCGACAATGAAGATTTATATGTAAACATTGCTGAGTGCATCAAAATATAACAAAAAGAACGTGGAAAAAAGAAAAATAATAATAAAAGTGTTTTTTTTTCTATCTAATTTTAGTTTAGTACAGTACCAGAACGTTATGATGAAATTTATTTACGATTATCAAGACAAGGTGCACGTGTTCTTGCATTAGGACATCGATCACTTGGAATTCTTTCTAATCAACAAGTAGAATTAAATATTATTTATTTTTTTGTTTATGAAGAAATTTTGCGTTTTAGTTACGTGAACAACATGCAACACGTAGTTCCGTCGAACGTAATTTGGATTTTTGTGGATTTGTTGTACTTTCATGTCCGTTAAAACCAGATTCAAAAGCAATGATTCGAGAAATTCGTCATTCATCGCATCATGTAAGTGATAGTTTTATTATAAAGACACATCATTGAAAGTGTACTTTACGGACAAAACAGAGTTGTAGTGAGACCGATGATTAAAAAGGACAACGGAACCTGGTTTATATGATTTGACTTCTATATTGAGTACACGAATGTCTTGTTAGTGATCAAATTAAAATGTAGATTTTTGTTTCAAAAAAAGTATTCGATTATTCTATCAAATCTGAACGAAAAGAAATTAACAAAAAATATAATGAATGCTGATGTTTTGTTTTTAATATCTCTGTAACAACGAAAGCTAGCGACCTTCAGTTTTAATCATTCGAACGAGACCCACGGAGAAAGATTGGTAAGGCTTTCGAGTGGCAATTAAGTCTTGAAAACCGGGATTTTGGTGTTAGAAAAAATGTCTACTGAAAAGATCAAAAATCGAATAATTCACCGCGCTCATTTTGATGGTAATGTGTCAAAGTGATTGTAAATTACCATATTCATACTCCTGAAGTTTCAAAATTGTTGTGTTGTATTGTGTGAAATGTCAAGGTTTCTGAAATTCGAATATTCTAATTTTAAATTGTTTTCTAACTAAAAATAAGCATCATTACTGAAGTCAGTGTAGTGAATTACTCTAGTTTTTAGGAAAGTCGGATGTCTCTGGGAAATCCTAATAACTTCTGAATGGAACAAACTAGAGATAACAACTTTGTATAGATCGAAACAAGACAAATTAGTCTATCGAGTAGTCATATCACCGATCAAAACACAACACAAAGTTTTCCGAGATTTTTTAGTCATTCGAAAACCTAATGATTCTAACATTGCTAAACTTCCTTCACGTTTCTCTTTCGAACGCTGAAAGCCATAGATCACTAACTTTTGTTGCTCGTGAGACATAAATCCGTTTTTCCCAGTTCCAAAAAATCTTTTTTTGAAAACTTTTTCCAGACTGGAGCGAATACAATTCTGAGATAAATACAAAAATGTGATTTTTAGTCTTTTTTTTTTATTTTGCTTTAGTTAACAATGATCACAGGTGACAATCCATTGACTGCTTGTCATGTAGCGAAAGAATTACATTTTACACGAAAACCTCTTCTTGTTCTTACTGCTCCAACTACTAGTATGTTAAATATGAAAAAGAAGATTCTTTTTCGATGATAAAATATAATATTTTTGCTAATTTAGAATCAAACGAATGGAAATGGGAATCTGTTCATAAAGATACTAATTTGCCAATACAACCTGCTAATATACGCGATTTAACCCGACAATATGATCTATGCGTTACTGGCGAGGTAAAGAATTATTATATCTTAACTCCAAGATTTAAATGTTTGCTTCATAAATATTTTCATAAAACATATTTTGAAAAAAATATCCTTTCTATTTAGTCTAATAATTTCTTTCATTGTTTGTCTTTCTAGGGTTTGGCATATCTTGGTACATTACCCATTTCTTTTCTTAATACAATAATGCCTCATGTAAAAGTATTTGCTCGTGTATCACCAAAACAAAAAGTAATATTATATTCATATACTAATAAAGGAAGTTTTCTTGATCTATTTATAAATTTAGGAACAAGTGATTATTAAATTAAATAATCTTGGTTTTGTTACATTAATGTGTGGTGATGGTACAAATGATGTTGCTGCACTTAAACATGCACATGTTGGTAAGTAGAATATTTCTTTTTTATTTCACTCTATTTGTTTTTTTTGTTAATGTCTATCTTTTATTTTAAAGGTGTGGCTTTATTAACTGGTGTAGCAGCTAAACGAACTGAACAACAACAAGAAAATACAACCAATCCAACGAGTGCTGTTCAACCACCGGCAGTAACAACAGTAACACCTCAACAACAAATTCTTACACCCGCTGAAATAGCGATTCGAAATCGAGAACAAGCAAAAGTATTATAAATTAATTATTTACATAATCAAAATCCGAAAGAAAAACATTTTTTTTTCTTAGAAACGCATAGAAGAACTTTATAAACAAATGGATGAAAATGAACAAACAATAGTTCGTCTTGGAGATGCATCAATAGCAGCACCATTTACATCACGTACATCAACAATTCAATGTGGTATGTCAACATATTTTTCTTTTTCTTTTTATAGAATATTAAATTCATTTTTTCTAAAAACATTCTAGTTTGTCATATAATAAAACAAGGTCGATGTACTCTTGTAACAACATTACAAATGTTTAAAATTCTTGCTTTAAATGCACTCATCTTAGCCTATAGTTTAAGTGTACTTTATCTTGATGGTATTAAATTTAGTGATGGACAACATACATTACAAGGTCTTTTATTAGCTGGCTGCTTTTTATTTATATCAAGATCAAAGGTAAATACTTCGAATGATGAAAAGTTTTTTTTTTTGTCTTGAAATATTTTATGATACAATGACAAAGATTAGAGTCTCTGACGAAGTTTATTTACTATTGTTTCTTTTTAGCCATTGAAAACATTAGCACGAGAACGTCCGTTACCGAATATTTTTAATCTTTATACATTAATTTCTGTTCTTGGACAATTTGCAATACATCTCACAGCATTAATATTTGTTGTTAATGAAGCACATAAAAGAATACCACCAAGGTAAAATTGAATAAATAGAACTTGTCAGTACAGTTTCTCTAGGGCTAATACATGGAATTCATATGTGTTCTTTAATTTCGTTATACTAATATAACATACATTAAGTGGAAAGTCTTTCGCACATTATAGTTATTTGTCATTTTCGTTTTGAAGTTTTTTTCTTGAATAGTCTAAGCTTTGTTGTTAATGCCATTTAGCGCCTTTTTCGTTTGCTTATAAAACTCTTCGAAAGAAGTCTGATGCCTACAGTGCGTCGGACTCTAAATGTGTAGGATGTGTCAGACATCGAACACAAAATCCGAAACGAATTTTCTACTTCCAGTGCGAGTATTCAATGCTGATCAGAAAATCTCGATCAACTAGTTCAGACTCCGAGAATTTTGAACCTGAAGGGCTCTACTGACGCCTATTGTCACCAATTGCTACGGAAACGCATTCAATGACAGTGAGCTTTTCCCTCCCTCTTCTTTCATTGCTATGAAAGGAAGAACTGCAAAAACTCCGCTTAAAACTTCCATTCACTATATTTTTCTTCGAAAACGATATAACATGAGCTTCAAAAAGTAAATTATATTTTTACTTTGTTTTTTTTTCAAGAAGTGACGAATTCGTTGATTTGGAAGCTGAATTTGCGCCTAATCTAGTCAACTCAACTGTTTATATTATGTCAATAACACTACAAATAGCGACATTTGCTGTTAATTATCAAGTAAAAAAAAGAAAAATATCGACTATGAATATTTGCATTAAGCTTTTTTTATTTAACTTTTTAGGGTTATCCATTCATGGAAAGCTTACGTTCGAATAAACCACTTCTTTATAGTATCATATTTTCATTTACGTTAGTTTCAAGTCTTATATTTAATTTAATTCCACAACTTACAGAGCAATTTCAAATTGTACTTATTCCTGATGATGTAAGAAACAAATTTTTTTTTGTTTTGTATTAGAATAGAATTTTATTTTTGATAATTATTTTATTTAGATGCGGCTTATTGTGTTTTATGTTGTAATTGGTGACGTTATTTTAGCGTATATCATTGATCGAGTTTTGGCATACTTTCTTGGACAAGCGAAATTAAAAGAATATTAATGTTGTTTGTTTTTCTCTATTGTATCATTTTACGAAAAAAAATCAAGATTTGTCTTTTCTGATTTTTAAATATAATATGTGCAAGATTTAGAAAATTGTTTTGATGTTTTATAGCATAAATTATTGATGAATATATATATATACATGTTGCTAATAATAATTAACTCAATTCGCGGAGAATTATGAATTAAGAAGAAATAGGAGAAAATCATTTTAATGATTTGAGTTTGAGTTCGAGTTCGTAATCATCGATAGAATTGCATTCGCATTTTTATGTTATTAAAATTATTATTATTCAATTTACAGTACTCGTACAAAGTCCTGCTACCAGGTAAAAATGACCTAATCTTTGAATCATATGGTTATTAAACCTTGATCACAAGAATCAATCAAGACTTGATTGGCGTTCGTACGGAGAAGTCAAAAAGTAAACATATCGATTTTGTTCCGACAAGAATATTTCAGCATTGATCACTGATCTCACAGCGTTTGATTCCTCTTATTCGAATGCACTAATGAAGGAACGTCTTCAAGTATGAAATCGCTGTTAAGTCACGGATATAGACATCATATAGATCCTAATGAACTATGAATACTTTGAAAAACGTTCAAACTAATAGCTTATCGTTGGTGAGATATCGCATTTTTACAGTATCTTTTATAACAATATCGTACTTCTCTTCAGGAATATTATGAAAACTGTATTTCGAATTTCGACTTGAAACATTGCACAGAGATAGATCTTAACGAAAACCTTGTGTTTCTCTTATCCTAAGATACAGCTATGGTAATAGCAAGGTTTTTTACGTCGTTTAAATGTACCGACAGATTGCGATGCTCTTATTTCAGAATAAGAGCAAATAAAAGATTCTGAAACTCAATTTTTCTGGTGTTCCTTAAGAGAAAGAACTATAGTATTGACTATAAAAAACTATAAACACTGCACATAATTCTGAATCCAGAGTGATTTGACACTTCTAGATTTTCTCTCGTTAGCGCTGTCTCCATCATCGATAAGAAACTCATGTCAAACGGTTTCAGTTTACCTAATTTATGAAATAATCTTTGGCTAATGTTGACATGAGAATTAATGACATTAGCAGAAAAGTAACCTGTAAATCCGGTTGATTCCGATCAACTCTCTTGAAGTTTTCTCTGAAAATTTCACGATGGTAGTCATCGACAGAGAGGAAATTCATGATAAGACCATCTCAGGCAATGGGATCTTTGGCTATACCTCACGATTACAGAGGGTTGAAGTGTGTCCTATCTATTAACACAATATAGATGTGCGAAGTTTTATTCGTTAAGGAGAAAATAGACGTTAGCGCATGAATATAGTAGAGAACTAGAAAAATATCCAAACCAAGTCTCTTTTGAACCCAAGGAAAAATTTAGTGCGTTTTTCTTTAATCTATTCTATGAAGGCCAATTGACCTTGATTACTATAGTTTTTATCGTTGGAATTCTTTTCTGAAGTTATTCAAAAATGTTTTAAAACTCAAAACGAAGAAAAAAAACATTCATTAAGTTTCGGCTTCTTATAAATTATTGTTTTTATGTATTCTCATTCTTTTTAAATGACTATGAAATACATTCAGTTTATTCAAGTTGACAAATACAAAATAAAATGAAATGAAAAAGCACGAAACTTAAAGGTTAAGTTAAAATATTATTCATGGTTTATTTTTAGATTGTTTTTTTTTAAATAAAATTTGAGAGTATGATTTTAAAAAAATGTCATTGACAGAAAGAAAAAGAAATTCAGTACTTAATCCATCTTTACTTCAATCAATTACTCAAACTATTTCTCAATCGATAACAACAACATCTTCACCATCAGATCAATTAGCAAAACTTACTGTGAATACGCCTACGACAAATTCATCTATAGAAATCATTTCTGATGTACCACAACTTGCAGCAAGAGAGTTCGTAGATTTTCTCTGTAATAGTTATTCAAAGAAACATTTTGACTTTGTTTTCAATAGAGAAAAACAATTAGTATCTGAAGAGCAAGCACCATTTATACCATTGTTAACATTAAAACATGAATTTCAATTGCCAACACAAACACCAAGACGGTCAAGTAATTTTTTAAAAGGATGCAAATGGTAGTTCTCATTTTCTTCAAATAATATAAAAGCAACCGATATTTCCACATATTTCAGGTCACCCGATGGTCTTTGTCTATTGACAAATAGTGACGATAATCAATTACGTGTATTTGAAATTCCATGTGATAGATTACCCTCAAATGAAGATCTTGTAAGAATCTAATGTTTTATAAAATTGTATAAGAAAATTTAACAGATCTTTCAGAAATAATGGATATCTCTAGGCATGTCTCAAAGTGGTGTAGGTGTATGGAAAAGGGAGTGAATGAAGAGAAGATTCTACGTCCACACTGTTTGTTGCGAAATAAATAATATGAAATGAATTTTCAAAAAGTTTAGTAGTCAAAAAATATTGTTACCCCTAGACTATTCCATTTTAGAGAAATCGACTATTGCTATCAATTAGAAATGACTAACATCCAAAGATACTCTTATTAAGCAACTAGTACATGTGCTGAAAAAAATTATTGTAGAACATCTTTTTCTATCTTTGACTGTTCATCTAAAATGTGTCCTAAACAATAAGATATATTATTTACATCCATAAAAGAATATACGTTTATATGGAGAATTAAAAGACGAAGATTTTGAAAAGAAAAACAAAAAGTCTGAATCAACAAATATTAAAAGATGCAAATACAGAGAGATTCATTATTTCTGAAGCACTCGTTATGAATAAAAATCTTTAGAATGCTGTTCTTCATCTTCAAGAACCAGAATTAATCTATGATTTTGAATGGTATCCATATATGGATTCAACACGAAGTGATACTTGTTTGTAAGGACTTCATCATCTTTGAATACATTGAATTAAACTTTGTCTTTCCTATCTTCCATTTAGTATCTTTAGTAGTTGTCGTGATAATCCTGTACATTTATTTGATGCATATACTGGTCAAGTACGTGCATCGTACAAAGCTTTTAATCATTTGGTAAAATAATAATTTTTCTTTTTAAATAATGTTAAGAAAATTCTTTTATTTTTATTGTTTTAAGGAAGAACTTGTTGCTGCTCGTTCATTAGCATTTGAATTACAATCAGGTAGACTTTATTGTGGATATGATCGAGTTATTCGTGCATTTGATATTCAACGACCTGGTCTTTGTATTGGACAATGGAATACATTTGGTAATATTTTTTATTAATATTTTATTTCATATGGAATATCTATTTTAGATCGTATAAATAATATTTATCAAACGGGAATTATTTCTTGTTTATCATTTAATTCTCAAATATGTGGCATGTATGCTGCTGGATCATATGCTAAAACAAGTGAAATGAATTTGAAAAATGATACGAACGAATTTTTTTTTTTTTTTTTGTACTTTGTTTTAGTTGGTATTTATGGAGATATGAATGGAGAATTAATTGCAGTTCTACATGGTCATATTGGTGGAATAACTCATATTCGATTTTCTTCAGATGGACATCGGCTTTATAGTGGAGCTAGAAAAGTAAATAGTATGAATTAGAATACAAGAGAAAGACAGAACAAAGATTCCTTTTCTAGGATGGAATGATTCTTTGTTGGGATGTGCGAAATTTAGGAGAAGTTCTATGTACTTATCATCGCCAGGTTAATACAAATCAACGCATTTATTTTGATTTTGATCCGTAAGATAATTTATTTTTTCATTTTGTTTTTGGTTTATATTTTGAATATTTTGTTTTATCTAGTTCTTTTACAATGCTTGTTACTGGTAATTCAAATGGTCATGTATTAGGTTGGAATATTAATGATTCATCGACTCCAGCACTTAATTTTTTAGCTCATAATGATTGTACAAATGGTATTAGGTATAATAGATTCTTTGTATTTTAATTGACGAAAAACAAGTTCATTTTTGTTGTTATGTTTAGCATTCATCCAAAACGACCATTATTTGCTACATCATCAGGTCAACGACATTTTGCTGGTGATGTACAAGTTACTGTTAGTGAAGATGAAGATGAAGAAAATCTCTATGCTGAATTTAATTTAAAAAAGATTCCGAAAGAAAATTCTGTAAAAATTTGGTCACTTACGAAATAAAGACAAAATGCTTTTTTTAGTTTAAAAGAATATTGTTTTAAGAAGAATTGATAATTTCACTTTCACTATGTTTCATTTCACAATATGGAAATCAAGTGCCACTCTCACATTCAGAGATAAAATCGGTACTGGTACCGCTCAGAATAAAATCATGAAAAGTATATTTCTTTTACAAAATGAATTCCTACATGATGGAAATTTACAATCACTGCTGTTATTTAGTAGTAGAACATTGTAAAAAATTTATTATCATAGTGATCATAAATTGAATAAGGTCGGGTAATTTTAATATTTGAAAAAATGACATAATAGGTAAGTCGAAAAACTTATCGAAACGCAAGAGAAAGGTGTATTCGTCTATGCTTCAACTTCCTGATGATATCATTGATTAACATAAGCTTTCACGTGATATCATGTAATTCAGTTGATAGTGCACTCGGACTTGTGTGTGAATGAGAAATGTCATTGAATTGAATAAATACTCTGCTTTTATTTATTAGGTAAATGAAACTTTCAAAAATGTTTGCATAATAATTAACACACTTGATTGTTATTAGTTGTTAAGTGCAAAACCCAGTCAAATATTTTGATAAACAAATCAGAATAAAATTGATTAAAATGATGTTATTTAACTCTAATTGAAATATAATTTTTCCGCATTAACCATAGATTTCAATTGATTTTAGTCGTTTTTGATCGATTAAAGAAAGATTAAAATCAGATTTTTCTTCAGTTTTCTTACGTGGAAAATTATTCTTGAAAAAAAGAAATCAAGTTCAAGTCTGCTGGTCCAGTTCGAAGTTTGATCTTCCAAGATCAAACAAGATTTTTCATCTTTAATTTAAAATTTTTTAAATTCAATTTTATAGAACTTATTGTCTTGATCACAAACATCATATTTTTGTTGCGTTTCAACTGAATATAAGAAAAATATGAAGATATTTCTGATTCTTGTAGAATTGCTTCATTGAGGTAAAACTCATTCCTCACTCTAAAAGTCTTTCGAATAGAAATCAGTGACAGAGTTTTCTGCTCCATACATTATCTCTCAATGGCCTTAGTTACTATTAAAATAAATGAAAGTTTTATTTCGTATTTTACAATTGAACAAATGGGTGCTCCTAGGCTACTTTGATTTGTTTGGGACGTGCGATTTGCCTTGTAGCTGCTTGTAAGATACCTGATTCATTTTTTTCTTGATAAAAATATTTTTGTAGCAAAGAGTATATAAAATTATCCTTACATTACAAGTTTCAAAAAGTTCATTTCGATAAAGGACTAGTATGAAACCAATGACTATAGTATTTTTCGCAAATTCTTTCTAATTCGTAAGGAGCACAAACAATCAGATTAAATCGAGGTCACTTGAATTATCCAAAACATAACTCTAAAAGGATTTTGATGTCAAAAACTGTCACGCATTCAGAGCAGTGAAGTCTTCATATGTTTCCTATTATACGATCAAGCTTGAGTAAAAGTTGGAGATTCCTGGACAACACGATGAATTCTATAATATCTAATACAAAACTTTTAAAATCAAAATGAAGAATACTGTTCGATACCTGGAGAGTACCAGCGACACAAAAAATTGTAAAGTAATATTTCAAAGTTTTGACCTAACAGAAAATCTCAGACGAATATCTCCATAAATGCGCAAGTGTCATTTGATTCCGATGGCTTGAAATCAAAAATGGTGCAACCACTAATTCTTCTTTTGGTACTTTTTTGGCTAATTACCTTGACAAAAAAAAATTGAATGTTCTTTTTCATGTAACCGAAAACATTTGCAACAGATTGTCTGTTTCCCACAAACATCATATTTATTACCAGAGCAAAAAAACACATTTTCGTTTTACTATCTATCGAAGAAAATCAAAATGTACAAGGTCCTTGCTTTGATTGTTCTTCTTGCTGTTGGTTATGTATCAGCTGGTACACGTACATTTAATGTTCAATCACGTCATATTAAACGTGCTTTATTACCATTGAAACAAGAAAGTAATAGTATTGATTGGTGTCCACAATGTATTAATTCATTTGGTGATTTAATTGAACTTGTTCTTGATGTTATTCTTCAATTTGGTGTTATGAATACATGTGGTGATTTATGTGATCTTGTTGCTGAAAAGTCAGGATCAAGTTTACTAGGATTTCTTTGTACAGTTGGTTGTGACATATTAGGAATAGAAGAATTTGTTAAATTAATTGAAAAAGCTGATCTTGATCCAATTTATTATTGTGAAACATTAAAACTTTGTCCAAGTAAAAGAAAATATTGTCTTTTTTCTTTTAATTAAATTTAAAAAGAAAATAATTTTTTTTTCTATTTCAGTCAATGATAATGGTGATGCTAAATTTAAATCATTTGTTATTTTACCACCACATGCTCCTGTTTATAGTACATTTACTATTGATTTTGTTTATGTCTCTAATAATGGAACTGGTACTGGTGAAATAATTATTACAATTAAAACTGTTGATGGTATTCCACTATCAGCTAGTTTCTTACTTGAAGAACAAAAACCAGGTACCTATGGTGAACGTTTTCTTGTTGATGCTAGTCCTGATCCAGACTGTGATCCTACTCAAGGTAAAAATTATTTGTTATTTTAGTATAAGAAAAACTTTTTTTTTTTCTAAATTATAGATCAATGTGAAAATTGGCTTCCTGGTATATATAATGTTACAGTTTTTATTTGTAATGGACAATGTGGTTCACACCATCCCCATACTCAACTGTATGATTCAGCCGCTGGTTCATTTCAAATTACTGAATAATAATAAATAGTGTGTTTACTTCTTTTTTTTTTTGAAAAGAAACAATAAATTGTGTAGTTATCTTCTCTAAGCTTTCTCATTCTATGAAAAGATCTTATTTGATTATGACGAAATTTATTTTGGCTTTATGCATTGAAATAAAAAGTATTATAAGATTTGTTCGCTGTTGAATAATAAATCGAGCGTCTTGAGAATATTTTATTATATTTATATGCATGATGTATCAATATATAAATTCAATGATAGCAATAATAGGTCATTCATAGAGAACGTCTAGAAAGAGAAGATGTCAGCAAAAACTGTACATTTCCGGACAAGATGAGAAAACAAGAATCACTTGTATCTGGATTCTTGAACACTTATTACACTTTTTTCAAGTTAAATTGGATGTGATCAGCATCGTCAAGAGAGTATGTAGTATAAATTTAATAACGCATCATTGTCAAATAAATCATGTATATAAGATGAATATCGGAAAAAAAAGAAAAGTACACTTAACCCTTTACGGCCGGATGTGTCCATTTGGGCACATCGATCTTTTTAGTGCCGAAAGAATTTCGTTCTAAAAGAATAGACTTCATTGATCTCTACC